ATCGCATTGGATCATGTGCTCTATATTCCGCAAGCTTGAAAAATATCCAGGATCGTTTGGAATCCACACATTCTGCAAGGGCATGTGCGCGGCATTTGGCTTGCCCGTATCTGGTTCATCTCAATCCCGAAAATCTCGCAAAGGCTTGAAGGAAACTGTTGAATGTCTGTGGGTCCTGAAACGGGGAGCCAACGGTAATGACTTGCATGAGACCCTGGTTGCGTGAGGCCCGGACAGTAAACCGATGGTCAAAACAGAGCATGGGAACCAGGTAAATGCCTTCCTGTTCAAAAGACGTGGCCCTATCCGAAATGACTTGAATGGCATGTGTGTCTTCATCCCAGTGACAACATGGTGTCAGAAAGCCTGGACTCACAAAAGGTCTGAACAGACCTAAGATGTAATCAATTTCATCCGAAGCGGCCTTATCAGGAACCACCGCAAATGCCTGCAATCGAGAATGGATGACATCGGCAGTAATGTGGTCAACCTCTGGTTCTGACTGCAGAATAGTTCGAACCGAAATCATGGTTTGTGCTGATGCTGACTGAAGTGTAATCGGACGCGTGTTGGGGTTAGCCGATCTCCCAATCGCTTGACGAACTTGCTCCCAACGGAGATCAATTTCTTCCTGGTCGTGCAGCATCAACCATTAGTGAAGTCGGGGACGAAACCGCAAACTCGGCAGTCGGCAGTGGTTGAGTCTGTTTGAACAGATGATTCCCTCGAGTCTGGGAGAACTCTAAAGACCTCTATAGTGGCTGTCCGGATGCACATATAGCGACTGTATCTAGACTAGTGTGGACTCGTGCGTCAAACTGAAATAAATTCACTAGAAAAGACATCCGAAGAGTATGCACTGAGTCAGGTGGCGCTCCGGTTTGGGCCCAAGCATTTGCTGCCTTTTGGAGTGAATGGTTCACAATCCTGCGGTTCAGATCTGAGAGAGAGTACAGCCTCGTGAGAACATCCTGGAAAGCTCCTTGTGTCCTTGTCAAAAGCACCCACCTCTCGGCCAGCGTCCACCAGCACATGGCCAAAAGAAATGCGGAGTCGATGTGCAGGCATCTGCGTGAGATGAGTCACGAAGAACTCCATTCTGTTTTGGATGGCTAAAGGTGCTTGTAGGATCAAGCAAGGCTGATGACATGGTGTCCCCTCTACTATGGAAAGGTCAGCATCTGGCTCAGCAAGGCTGCTCGCATGAGGAAACACCAAAGCCCACACATCCTTCCATCTCGCTCCGAGGGTCATGCACCAAACCATGTGCACAAACAGACAGACACTCTGTCTCATAGCGTCCCCCTTGATGAATGATTCATTATCATCACAGCTAGCCAGGAAGAGTGCTAACATAGGAAAAAGGGAGCTCACATCCATGTTCATGCTCAATCGGACTATCCGAATCCAAAATCCCCGTAGGAAGTGCCCACAAAGAAAAGATCCAGCGCCCACCAAGCAGATCGGCCCCAAGGTAAAAAGTGCCAGAAGTTTGCACCCCAAAAACGGCCTGTTCCTTCACCTTGAGGTGGATCGATGTTCCATCTTCCAGAATACACTCCAGGATTGAAAAGTCACTAGTCACTAGTGGCTAGCAGCACTTGCTTTAAACGGGTCTTATGGGATGGCCCTCTTCTATCACACAGACTGGACGGAAGTCGTGTGACAGAGATGGCTCCTTTGAGTGGCACATCAGTCCATGGCATGGCTCAATCCGCGCCCCCAGTGCACCACCTGAAACAACAGCTATACGTCGTGAACGTTTGAGCCATAATATAGCCACAAAGCGCCTGCCGCCGGACAGCTACTTCCACTTCGGCGGCCTGTAGCACTCCCACCCTCTTCTGCGGACGTCGCTGCCAACTTCATATGGCCACGGTCACCGGCCCGTCCCGTAGACCCGGCTGCTTTTGTCTTCGCCTTCGAGACCGGCACCGGAGCCACCTGCAGTGACCGGGGCGCCCTCTTCTGACGCAACAAAACGATGCGTTCTTGAGCATGTTCTTGACTTGCATGTCCTTGGATCTTCTTGACTTGAAGGCGTTTAAGGGTTCTACATCCTTTTCTTTTCTTCACCCGAAAACGAGGAGCAGGTCCACGTTCTTGTGAGAATTTCTCAGGTGACGCACCGGACAAAGAGGAACAGGTGCTCTGATTTTGGCCGGTCAGGCCCCTGGAGGCCTGGCGTGTTTTTCTGTTATATAGGTGACAGTGATTTTTGATTGGTTCAGTTCTATGTAATAGTTCTACAATAATCTATATACATGTATCTACTGAATTAGGGGCTTGGTGACGGCTCAGTGTGTGTTTCTGGAGAAGGTGAGTTCACCATGTGCCAGCGCCCTCACTGGCTTGTCCATGGAGCCTTCGGCCGAGAACGTCAGTCCATGGAACCACTGAACTCCACGAACCTGACAGAACCTGAAGTCCATCTTGACAGAACCTGACAGAACCGAGTTCCTGTTGAACAAGTGCATCAGTTCCTGACTTCTGGGCGGGAGATCCTTGGAAAAATATAGCTTGGCCACGCTTGGCCTATATGGGATCTGGTCGAAATGTCTTCTTCCAAAAATGCAGTGCAGGGGGAGAAGGGGCCGAACGAGCAGCCGACTCTGTAACGCTGCGACGCTGTTCCAGGGGGTGCGACGCTGCCACGCTGCGACGCTGCAAAGGAACACTAACGCTGCGACGCTTTGACGCTCCGACGCTGCACACGAGCGCTGACGCTGCCGACGCTGCGACGCTGCGTCGCTGCCAACGAACACCGACGCTGCTGACGCTGCCGACGCTGCTACGCTCCGACGCTGCCAACGAACACCGACGCTGCTGACGCTGTCGAGTCTGCAACGCTCGGACTTTTTCGCTTGCGTTTTCTAGGAGATCCAGACGGTAATGCGTAATTCACATGAACCATTGCGAACAGGTGCGACCGCAAAAAGTACCCCTGGTAGCACAGTAACCAAAAAGTAATTCTCGGGATGTACAGACGCGACTCCATCAAAACGTGTTATGAATTAATGCTTCGGGGTCTCGTGTAAAGCCTGCAACCAGATGCAAAAACTACGCAAAAAATGAAGGTTTCCTGCGTGACCACCGTGACCGCGGCCATTTTTCCGGCAGTCACCAGATCCCATATCTCTATGTCCACACATGAGGAGTCTCAGTGAACCAACCAACATCAAGCAGGCTTGCACTGCAGCAACCAACTCATTACACAAGATGGGCTCTCTTTTATGGACAACTTCTCACCATTGTCGTGGCAAATGGAATCACCATCCCTGACCAAAACCGCCTGCGCTCGTGGCACTCATGGCTTTGCACAGTGAATTTTTCTGGCACAAGCTGGTCATGGTCGGCTGCAAGGTTCTCCAGCAACACATGCGCCATGCCCAGAGAGAGCGTTCGCAAACATAGGTTCGATGTGTTCCGACTGGGTTTGCAAGAACGGATTGGAAGAGCAAATTACTCGTGATTGTTAAAGCCTAGCACGAACCAATGGCTAAGCTGGGCATTCAAATGTGGCTCACAAGCACATTGCGGTGGCCGCAAGGCAGCGGCGCTCATCTTCAGTTTTGTTTACGAGCACCTGGGCAAAGCGACGCAACTGGTGGACTTACACCAACTCAAATTCAGAGGGTTCTCAGATGTACTATGGATAATTTGGTTTCTATGAGGGAAGTAGTCATTTACCGGAATCCACTAGATCCCGCATATCAAGCATTGTTTTAAGCCTACTGAATCAACGTGCTGGCCCTCCAGGAACTGCAGAACTGTCCACATCACCCGGAAACATCCCAAAAATCACCTCCGGCCAGCAGGAGTCGAGGCAGGCTGTGTTGTGTCGGCGGGAGCTGGATCAAGCAACCTTGGCTGGCACCGATGTTGCAGTCATGATAGCTATTGCAGATTTAATCAGATGTAATCGCAAGAGCAGTTGTTCATCAAAACACATTCAAGAAATTCATACCTTCCAACTAGACATCACTTTCCAGGAAGTGAAATTTTTTGAAAGGAAACCTTCCTCCGCAAAACAAAAACTGACACTGCTTGGCTCTGGGAGGGTTCTACCCGGCTTTTTTAAACAGGCCAGTAACTGTTGGCACCTCTCTCCCACAATATTTCAGACCATGAAGTGGCAGGCACACCAGCGAATCCCCCGCAAAAGCAGGTTGAAAGGCGGTGGTGCCCAATTACCTTGGCTCACATTTCTTTTGGCGCAAACTTTAGCAAATCAATTATTCATAGCGGGCGAACAATGTTGAGAAACTAGGCACATGGTGGCGATGATGGATTTATGATTTTCCATTGTATCGTATATGCACTGTATGCGATTTTTGTAAGACGTATCGATAAGCAATAGGTTCAGTAGAGCCTCGAAACTCCTACAACTTCTGTTGCTTTTATCATCGGACCCGCGGGGCATTGACAACACCTGCACCAAAAGTCTGCAGAGCTACTGAAGCGTGCGAGCAAGAGAAAGGACGCGCCAGACAAGCAGGTCAGAGCATTTCCAGAACTGCTACCGAACCTGGGATTAGGGAAAACTGTAAATTCCCGAAGGCGATGTGCCAGATTCTGTTGCACACCTGAAAATTTAGACTTACCATTCTCATTCTATGTGGAATGAATTCTATTTGACGTATGTCTAGTTTGCGGCCAGGCACTTTCGTTATGTCATCAGCTTGGTAAGGTTCTGGATCTTTGCCACGTTGACAAAGGCTCCTGCGGACAATGAACCATGAGTTGGTTCATGGTGCTTTTGCTCCGCGCAACATGCTAGGCTACTGTACCTCCACATTCAACTGTGGTAGAATTGCCAGATGTGCAACATGCAATGCGCCACGTCGTCACTGACATGTTTTATCCGTGGCAGGTCAAGTCGATTCTGCTTGAGGAATTGGCACTGCGCCGCACAGCTGACCTTTGGTTGCCGAGCTGCTACCACCATCTGCCGGACTGGTCTTTACACGGCTTTCTATAGGACACTATCTTACCCTCGGTCAGTCCTGATGGTCGTCTGGAGGAACCATGTACGCGACGACCACACCTTCGTCGAGCTGAGTCCATTCTAGCGGATCATCCATCTGCTTGCTGAGTTCCTCATGAGCTGTGATATCATTGGTCTGGGCTAAGAACTGAACGGCCTGGTTGGGAGCACTTTCCTTCACCAAGACTTGCAAGAATGTTGCAAGAAGGGCCATGTCTCGGGCTGTTAGAACCAGACTGGCGGTGTCCCACCTTTGATGCGCTGTCCCCATGCCATGGTAGATTTTCAGGGCCCAAACATTGTTCCTGGCCAGGATGTGAGCGCTCCTCAAACTAGAGCAGCTTTGCAAATAGTAACTTGCATGGCCAATTTCGTCGGCTAACAGTTGGTGCCTTGTCATGTACTCCGTTCCCGACAAGGCTGCAGTTTTGGCACACAATATGTCCATTGCGGCCATCGTCATGTCGTTGTTGTGGTGGGAGCCTGTCAAAACGAAATTCACTGCGACGAAGATGGCACGCTTGCCATAGATGACCATGGGAAGGGTCGGAATCAATGCGCAAGGCGGCATCTCTTGAAAGTCCGTGTTTCTCCGCGCACCTGGTGACAATGCACAAACTAGTTTCGTGTACCAAACAGGCGTCCACTTTATGGATCAGATGCACTTTACAGGCGGCGTCAAAAAGCTAAGTTTATACTGTCCCTTTGTAGGAATGCCCCGCCTGGAACCTGTCATGCAGGGGGCTGCCAGGACATGCTTCCCCATGTGTCTCGCCAGTGCCTGCTGGGCACACGGTCAATCAAAGAAATGCAGAACCTCTTTTAAAGATGCAGCAACGCTCAACTACTTCCGAGCAACTCATTTTTTTGGTCTCTGCCTGGGATCCTGCATGAATTCTGCTGCCGCCGCTTCCCGCTGCTGGTCTTCTAGCACCTCCATGGTTGGCCAGCGGAACGCTGCCCATTCCCCCAGAGCTGGCAGATTGCAGATCTGCTGCAACTCCCGCCAAGCGTCCTATCGGTCATAATGACACTGTGATGACACACGACAGATATATTGCAACAGGCTGGCTGGCTACGATTGATCTGCAAAAAGTTTTGGAACAATGGGAAACGAAAAGATAGATTGTGTGTTTGAAACATAGGTAGGACAGTCCTCGTTGTCCAGGTCCAAGAAGTGTTGAAAGAGACCTTGAAGCTTGCGCGTCCATGGATCCTCTGCAGGATACAAGTATTCTCCTAGAACAAGAAGTGTGTGGGTGGAACGCGTCACTCCAACCAGGCGGCGACCACGGTGGAGGCAGTGTCCGCCGGGTGTGAGCTCTGCTTCCGTTCTCTTTTGAAGGCTGAGGAAGACTGCGTGGCGAAACGTCTCGCCTTGCAAAGATTCGGGGGTCCCGATGACTAACCTGCTCTGGTCTGTCTCGGGCAGAGTCGCCTTCCAAGCCTCCAAGATGTCGACGGACTTTCTGTAGAGTAGGATCACGCCCACAGTTCCACGATCTCCATGGAGCCAAGTGAGCGCCACATTTGCGATCAAAGAAAAGAGCCGGCGCCCGAAGACGCATGAGACTCCTCCCCGAATTCCCAGATCTTCCCATAAAGCGCCAGTCAGCTGCACCAGGTGGACTGCAGTTTGATGAGCACACCGACACTGAACAGGCTCTTCCCCAAGAGCTACGAGCAGGTCACCCACAGAATCACTCCAACGGCGAACCGTTTGTAAACTGTGGTTTGTGCCATGTTGCTTGAGGAAAGGGATTGCTGACAGATGGACTGGGCGCAGGGGGACGCTTGCTGTAGCCGGTTGGCTATCTTCTGGGTCTCCGGCGGGCATACCTCTGCAGGTGGGAGACGCGCGCTCAAGCCTTTGCCTGGAGTCTCCTGCTGTGAGCACGAAGGCAAAGTGCGCTGACAGCGTCGGCTTCTCGGCTTCTCGGCTCTTCTCGGCTTCTCGGCTTCCCCTTGTTCGCGTGGGCCCCCTTTACCCCTGCATTGCAAAAATGGCTGAAAGTCGTGCTCACATGGGGGCCCGCTACATACTCTTTACTTTTGGCACGCACAGCTGGTTAATGCAGGAAACATGGACCAAACAATTATTGGCGTCAAATTGTAAGAGGCGTCACTAGCGCTGCACCGTTTTCAGCTGATCTCCGAGCTTCAAGCCATGCTTGAAACAAAAGAACAAAAGACATGTTGCAAGTCAGCCTTGGAAGGGTCCACGCTGGAATCTGGCAATGTTTGCTAGCGCGGATCTAGCGCAGTGCTAGCGTGCGGCTAGCGCATTTTTCAGCCAACCACTTTTCAAAAACCTGACGACGTTCTGAACATGTCCTAAGGCAAACACTAGCGTCACTAGCGCAAGTCTACCGCAAACCTAGCGCCCAGCTGCAGAATAGGTGTGTTTAGCTGGGGGCCCGCTACATAATCTTTTTGAAAAAAACAACATCATAAGCTACTTTCGACCCCTTTATCTACTTTTTTTGATTATAGACTTTTGGCCGGACTCCATTATTAAGTTTATCATATTTTACAGCTATCTACCTGTTCTTGTTTAGTGGGGTGTCCCCAATCACCCAAAAAGTTTAAAGGCTACGAGATGGTACATTTGAGAATATGTCCCAAAAAAGATACAGTATCTAAGCCTAATGAGCATGATAAGCTTATGAGCTGCTTGTCACTGGAAACCCTTCGCCATGCGACCCTCCTGGTCTCGTACGTACGTTTGGACCCCCATCAAGAGGCTGCCTCAGATAGCTCTTAGATGGAGCTTTTAGATGGTTGTAGGATGTTGTAAGTGGGAGCTCTTAGTCTTAGATGGTCGTTAGATGGTTTTAGATGGTCGTTAGATGGGAGCTCTTAGATGGAGCCGTTCAAAGCCTTTCCAACGACGCCCGGTTCCAAGATCCGATGCCTGAGCCGTCTTGGCTTTGGGCGCAGGCTGGGCGGCCGCAGGAGGCTTGGTCTTGGCCGAAGCCTCCGCAGTGAAGCGAAGCGTGCGGAGAGGATCCATGGTGTCGATTCAAGGTAGAATCTCTATCTTGGGATCACCCCATGCGGACCATGCGTGGGAAACTGACAAAACATGGTTAGCACTTGGAGATTCTCCAAAATCTGGTCAAAGGCCAGGCCCTCAGGGGTGATTTTTCTGAGTTCCTGACAAAAGCCTTCCCTAGGGATCCAAGTGCCTTCTCAGAAGGTACTTGAACCCTCCAAACCTAAATAGCAGTGTCTCCAATCACCTTCTGACAAGGTACTTGGATCCCTATAGGGCTTACATGAGATCAGACCATGCATGATCAGGTCACATCGCCCAACCGTTGCAACCCACTGCCTATAGCCTTTGGACAGAAACGCTGTAGTCTATAGTCTTCAAAGCGATCGTCGATCCTGTTTTTCAGATCATTCTGAAACATCAAACTGTCATGCTCGCCCAGCAACCTTGCCTGAAGGGGCTTGACCGCGTGCTTGGCAGCTCGTGCGATGGAATCTGCCTCTCAGCATCCCATGCCGATGGTACTAGTCTTGGTTACTGCTTTGACACTCCAGCAGAGGTTGAAGAACCCTATAGACTATCCTAGTTCGGTACCTCTGGGTCCTAGTTCAGGTCACTTAACCTCTGTAGGCTTGGACTTGGCTCCGACACTTGGACTTGCTTCAGGAACGCCAGATATTTAAAAGCACACACACAAAGCCCAGTCGCAACCCTGGCCCCGAACGTGCATGAGGGGTCGGAACCAATCCGGTTTTGAGGGACCAGTTTGGTCGGGCTGAGAACTCACGAAGTGTCGGGCAACCATATTAAAACACGAAGTTCCAGGAAGGGGCTTCACCCAGTTCAGGACCATTCAGCATGTAACATATATATCACTCACCCCCAAGCAACAAGAATCTGTTTGCCTGTTTGGCCCACCTCAGAAGCAGGTCGGGTTATCGCCACGGTGTGATTTTCGAGACTCAGAGAACGGCACCAGAAGAAAAGAGCCCAAACATGTTAGGGGCCAAATGCTACCGAACCTGAGGGTATGGGCCAGGAGCCCTATAGGGGTTGATGGTTTCAACATGTTTCAACGAAAACAAACTTAAAGTTATATGAGTCAGTAGGTTCAATGATCAGGCCCCAAGGGTACGGCTCGTTCCGTCGTTCCGAACCTCCGATACCACGGGCGGAACCACACTGGGTCCAGGCGTCGTACCTGAGGTTTGGGTACGAATGGATGCCTAGGGAGGTACGACTGGAGTCTCTGCACCCAGCGACTTCGGGTCCCCAGCGCCCTGGCGGACTGGCGAAGACGGACGAATAGCGCGCATAGCTGGTGCGGGACCACCAAACTGGCGCGCCGGGAGTGTCTGGTTTCGGAAGCCGGGACAAACATGAAAAAAATACCTGGATCTTCCAACTATGCCACATGTCTGCCAACCTTGGCTGATGTTTATGAATGAAAAGGCAGAAATATGTGACAGTTGGAAGATCCATATTCCGCGCGGCAGGAGTTTCAGCAAACACGAGGTGGCATTGCTGGTGAGGACACGCGGAATCCCACAGCAGCGAGGAGGTACAAGTGCGTGCGCTGCTCCAAGAGTGCAGCTGACCAGAGGCCCATTATCACTTGGCGTACGAAGGCACGCCGGAGGTAACACATTCTAGAGATATTCTTTTTGTCTCAGGGATCATCATAGTTGCTGCACATGTTGCATCATGTTGCGTAGTCTGGATGTTCCTGCACATGCAGGTGCCGTGAATGTTAATTACAAGAGTTAGCAGCAAACCAGCAAACCTCTCGCTACGCCTCGCCCGTTCTCTCGGTTGCTGCCCCCTAGGTACCGAGGCCAACGTAGGTCGATGATATGGGGCCGTCCGATCAGATAGGCTGCCAACAATAGTTAAAAATAGGAAGGGCCTGGTCGGTGCTGTAGCGTAAAATCCGACCGACCATGAGAACCGGTCCATCTCTACCTGGACCCCACTTCGTTCGTACCTTAAGAACATGGGACAATGACCCTAAAAAAGGAAACAGGTCTTGCAATACCCACATTCTGAGGTACGTACTTTCAGACTCCAGGTCCTGTGACGTGGCACCGTTGATGTCGCCCAGTCGCCCGAGCTGAGCTCGCGAGGCGTTGGAAAAGAGATGTGGCAGTTCATCGATATGGCTGTGAGTCATGGCACCTGGAGCACACCAAGGTAGGTTGACCATGTCAGGTAGTCCATGGCCTGTTCATGCCCTACACCTCCAAGTACCTCCGAAGGTACTTGCATGCCTAGGGATGTTCTCAGGTCAATCCAGGTCGCCCGGTGCCCTGACCCACAGCCATGCCGTGCTGCTCCTCATCGAAGCTCTTCATCCAATCGACCGAGTTCCTTCCCGGTACTCCGTGTCAAACCCATGGGCCGTGGGCCGTACGTCGGGTCCCCTCCTCTTGGGCGCGTGGAGCATCGACTGAGACGAGGGGCGTCAGTGATCGACCAGATGTCTCGGGGTTGCAGGGACGGAGACTCTCTCCTCGTCACGAATGCCTCACCTCTCTGACACAGGTCCGGTGTCTGATGGGTAGCACTTCATCGCCACC